TTGTTGGAAATATCTATCATAAGCTAAGGGTCTCTGAATAAGACTTTGTATATCATTTTGTCAACTGATACAACTTTTACAACGTTTGAACTGCATGTATTATTATGATTAAATTTCAAATGTTTTTTAAATTTAAAAAAAATACAAGGACTATAAATCTCCGCCCTTTATCTCCCTTCATTAGGTCATTTGGGTAGAGTAGAGTTAAAAATAATGTTGGACTGATTGTTGATCCTTAAGGTGTGCCATTCTGCTACTCAATTTTTTTAGATAATGTACCAATATAGACTTACTATCTATAATTTTGTTATAAATATAGTAATTACAGACATAACTCCTGTTTTCAAATTTAACTTTCATTGAGCAACCATGGATAATTTTATCTAAGCATAGAAGTCATTAAAATAAAGAATTATTTCAAAAAAACTCAAAAATAAGAAAAAATCACAAGAATATAGGACCAGTGACCTCAATAGCTATGTAGGAAAGAAATTTACAGAATTATAAAATGCAACGGGTTTGGGTGGCTCAGTAGTACAATCTCTGCCTGCGAATCCAAGGGCCCCAACTTAGAATCCCACCGTTGGCCTGGATTTTTTCATTTAATTATTTAAAATTAATTTTGATGCCTTGGTAGGATTCCCCGCTCGACCATTCACTGTTGGGTTCTAATTAACAGTACTGTTCCTAAAGTGGCGCTGGGAAACAGTAACAAAGCCTACACAACACACACTTGATTGAAAATTTAAAACACAAACTGAGACTGGCATATTAGATTTATACACCCAGACCATAAATCGACAAAAACTATGTGAGTAGGAGAGCATTTTCTCATTATTTGGCCGGTATCATATGAATGATGAGAGCAGTGGTGCCACACTACGATAATTATCCTATTTGTACGATATACATTAAAGTTGAAAATTGTCCAGAAAATTTTAGCGACTCAAGTCTACTCTTGTGTTATTGCCTCTGTCGAAAACGAAATATCGGATGAAGAATTCTCATAAAAAATGGTTTCATCTGGAGGGGAATTCCACTACTATAAACGAATCATCTCAAAAAAGACAGACATTGTACGAAAAACTTCTCTTTGAAAGATTACATTACAAATCCCGCCATTAAGCTGTCTATACGAGCTCTTCGCCGCCCCCAGCCCCAATGCCTTGCAATAAGTGTTTGAAGTTTTCTCACTCAACAGAAAACTGCACAGAAACAACAAAATGCAACAAAAAAAAACATTAAATAAAAATTCTGACCAAATTAAGGACAATATGAAAATGAACAGAATCCACTCCTCAATAACAGTTCATTACATAATAATAAATTCTTTTGTACAAAAGCTAAACAAACCCAAAAACATCAACAGAGAGGAGTTAATAGAAAGACTACGAAAAAGATTTATGGCGGAATACAGAATAGATACCACTGTAACGTTTGTGGGAAACAACTGGATTTACATCTTGATGTTTGACATGGAACTAGACAACTTCGAATCTCCCACTGAAACTATACCAGGATTGCAAGTAGCTCACATTCAACAACGAAATTAAAATATTATACACTTATATAAACAGTTACTTTCAAAAGAATATTTAGTGAACTATACGATAGAAAGGAAGTTAATAGACTGTGCCCTATTTGTAGAAACTAAAACCAATGCAGAAACCAACACGAACGATAGAAATTGGGATGTAGTAAGACACGACGGAAATATTCTAAACCAAAATATAAGAGGAGGATCACTTACGCAAATAAATCCAAAGCTAAAAATGCGAAAACAAAACCCGCCCTGCATAAACGATCCCCGAAATGGTGCTCTACACGCCAGTATCCCTTTCACATTATTTTGATATACATGCTTAAACCGACGATTCTATCTTCAGAATGGCAGGAAGATTCAAATATGTTATGCTAATCGGTGACTTCAACCACCACTCTCCAGGCAAATTCAAACAGATTCAAACTTTTATGCATAACTTAAACTTTATTAAAGCGGATACTCCCCATACTTTTTTGATGCCCAACAATGAGGACTTCACCCCAGATTTGTTAATGTACAATGACAATCTTAGCAACGCAATCAAAAATCTAGAATTAATCCCAGACATTGGGACAGACCACCATTTTATAATGTTTACTTTTGAGCAAGGAATGCCCTCTCCTTTTGCAGACCCACCTCTTAAATATCATTTCAATAAATCAAACATTGAAAAAAGAAATAAAGAAGTAAACCAACTAATTTCAAACAACACTAATATTAATACCAATGAAGTCAATAACTTTCACACAATGGTCTTCGAGATTATCACAAACAACACACCAAAAACTGCAAACAAATATTTTTCTTATGAACTTCCTAGATACATCCTGAAACTCATCAAAACAAAATGTAAAATGCTCAGAGATTACAGGCAAAACCCTAGTCGGGAAGTCAAAACAAACATCAACAACTTTAACAAAGACATTCAAAAATTAGTAAAACAATTTCAGCAACACACATGGCTACAGACCCAGAAATCAATCGAGAACAGGAAAGAAACTTCTATCATAAAATAAATAAACTGTCAAAATATAAAACAAGGAATACAATTCCAAATATCACAGACAATGGTATAGACTATGCCTCAGATGAAGAAAAGACCGATGCATTCAAGGAGAACTTCGTTAAAACATATAACGGAACGAAAGACCCATCTTTTGAACAAGAAAAATAGAATAATGTAAACTCATGGTGCAAACAATATTTTAGAAACAACCCAATCAATGAGGAAGATAACACAGAATTCGAGGAGGAAAAATACTTTCAAATACTATCCAATCAGAAAAACTCCGCTCCAGAATCGGACATGATCCCATAGCAAATTGTGAAAAAACTAGAATATTATATACATATCTATATTATAAAAATGTTTGTATTCTGTTACAAAAACTCGTACTTTCCAGATCAATGGAAAAAAGGCACCATCATAGTTATCCCAAAACCAGGCACAGACCACAAAAGAATTGATAATTACAGACCAATCACCCTTCTTCCAGTTTTGGGAAAACTATTCGAAAAACTTATTAAGGTCAAATTATCAGCATTAGTAAACGAACGAATTCCGCAATTCCAATTTGGGTTTAGAGAACAAATCTCCGCTCTGGTACCAACCACTCTGCTGGTTTGCAATGTGCAAACAACAAAATTGAACAATAAAAAATCTGCTATTCTCCTGTTGGACATTAAAAAAGCCTTTGACTGTGTCTGGCACAACAGTCTCCTATTCAAACTAAAACTTCCTAATGTGCCTGATGGTCTTATAATTCTTATCAAAAACTTCCTTCAAAACAGAACTCTAAGAGTTAAAATAAATAACCACACATCTCCAAGTTTTATAGCAAATCAAGGTGTACCGCAAGGGTCGCCGCTATCTCCGCTCCTTTACAACATATATTGCTTTGATTTTTCCTTCAGGTCAGTTACACCTAAATGCAGTAAATTACACACTCCAATGGGCAGATGACTCGGCCTTAATATGGCATGGAAATACGCTGAATCAAACCATCACAGCACTACAAAATCAATATAACAAAGTTACTCAATGGCTCAATAAATGGAGATTACAAGTTAACCCACAAAAATGTCAATTAATGATACCGTATCATGATCTAAGACCGACATCACCTAGACTCATCATATCTAACCAACCAATCCATCTTGCACTATTGCAGTATTCTTGTATCTTCTTTTTAGGTGCATTTCTTTCTCTGCTTTCTTCATAGGATTTTCCTTCCAATCTTGCCCTTTCTTTATATTTTTAGCAGCTAGGTGTAATTTTGTTAGCACATGCTCCTGATATGTGCCCCTTATGTACAACTTCTAGTGTATATATCTATATAAGTAGTTTTTAACACACATTAAATGTAAATATGTGCCATTTATACATAATCCAATGCGACAACTATAAGGGAACACATTATTGATCAAATTTCAATTTGAGGAAATATTGACATGTGCCCTTTCTGCACCTACCGATTCATTTACTTTGCGAACCCTTATGTTGTTTTGCACACACCTTATGCTTATGTAGCTCATATAGCTTATGTGTCTATAGTCCATGTTTTTACTTTATTTCCAGACAGTGGCGGCTCGTGGGGTGGTTCACAGTGACAGAATATAGGTATCAAACAGATGTATGAAAAAATTTTCAGTGTTTTAGAAAGTTTATAATATACCTTTCTTACCTGTATCTGTACCGGGATCTATATTCTGCTACTGTGAACCCCCAAAATTTTGGTCACGAGTCGCCCCTGTTTCCAGACACATTTTTCATAGACAGTTTCTTGTAAAATTTAATGCATTTAGAAATATTTTTAACGTTAGATTATACAGGGTAGCTGTTAAAGATGGAACCAAACCTATAGTGCTTAAACGGTTCAACATAAAATGGCTTAAATTTACAAAAACTTTTATAAATATCCTTTCTGTTGTGTTTAGACCCCATGTGTGATAGTATATAACATGACCTACGTTGCTATTTAAACAAATCAAGATGGCGGCCATGCTTAAAATTTTGTAATTATAAAAAAATAATTTTTGGACTAAAATATGCGCAAATATATTTAGTTGAAATTCTGAAATTTTGGGTTTTGTATGTTAAACCGTTTAAGCACTATAGGTTTGGTTCCATCTTTAACAGTATTATAAAAACAGTGGTACAATATTTCTTTTTTTTTATTCAAAATAGTCATTATGAACTAGTTTGCAATACGCAATAGGTATATTATCTTCAAATTGAAAGCTTTTCCTTATATCAAACTTCTACAGTTCAAATTATAAAAAAAATTATATATAATGAATGTATTTATTAGTCACTATTCCTTTAATTTAGATAAATTAAATAAATATATAAATTCTAAATTATAGAGAACAGTAAACGCTGTATCAAGTCGACAAAACGATATAATTAAGTCATTTTTGTATCAACTATTGATAATTTCCATTACAAAATTTCTACCTTAAGTTTAATATAGTGTTTCCTTCGAATGATCTAGAAAGGACATACAAGGTACTGGTACTCGAACATGAGTGACACCGCGACAAACACGAAGTAGAGCAGGAACATGGTAAAACCTAGTCCTCTGTTCATCTTCCATCGGAAGCAGGCAATAGACATGATTACGAAGATGAGCATCATGAATAGGATTGTTATAGAACACACCATACCCACCGAATTTACCTCAACAGGTTTTCCGTAGATGATGCCGAACAGCAACCAAGGCACTGGTAATCTGAAACACAAAATAAATAAAATCAATTTTTTGTTCTGGGATTATCTAAAGCAGTTATACTCAAAATGTGCTCCGCGGAGCCCTGGGGCTCCGCAAAGCCTTTGTGGAGGCTCCGCGAAGAAAATCATAGTCGTAATAAAAAAAGCAGTACTATCGCTAGAAAAGGTAGGGACCAGGCTTGAGTACCTTTATTTGAGGTCACTAAGAGGAAGAAAGATATGACTTTGCTTAGAGGACTTTTTTTTTAGAAATGTGTTAGCAAGAGTGCGGGCACTTCAGCCTGGGAACTTTTTGTGTGACGTAATCCAGATCTAACCTCGCTTGTGACGTAAGGCAGATCTAACCTCGCTCGTGACGTAATGCAAATCTAACCTCGCTTGTAACGTAATGCAGATCTAACCTCGCTTGTGACGTAATAAATGAAATATAAAAAACTTTTTGTGTGTGGAATGCATATCTAACCGATAATTGGAACAATCTCTTGGGACTGAGACAGGCTTAGATACTTCTGGGTGAATATAACCAGAAAAGATCAGAAGCCTGCATCTGTCTGAGCAAGAACAGTAATAATACAGATAATATAAAATTCTTATACCAAAAAATGGTTTTAGCTTTTCGACCCCAGTATTCCCCTTTATGTCTAAATGTTTATTTACGAAAACCAATTTGCAGTACAGCCATAATCATGTCATTTTTAAAATCTTCTAACATTAATTTATAAAAAATATTGTTCACCTTATTTTTTTTTTAATTTTACAGAGCCAAATAGTATTTTAAATTTTATTGTATTTATTTTCATGTAACTAATGTTAGTGCTGGTTAAATAACTTGTATAAGTTGAGACCAATAAAGAAAAAAAAAAAAAAAAAAAAAAAAAGAACAGGCTACGTATTGTAACAGGGATCCTTACCTGGCATTGCCAACTAAAAGGACGCCTAAGTAAACCGAGAGTAGTAGAAAATAGTGAGTGCATATGCTGTGAAGAGGAGGACGAAACCTCCATTCACGTCCTAACTGAATGTATAGCACTCCAGAATCCAAGGGCACTATATCTAGGATGATATCAAATAGAAGAGGGAGATTTAATTAACTTGAAGGCACTTCAAATCCTACACTTCCTTGAGGAAATAGGATTGGAAGGGTCGTTATAGGCATTGAGACATTTCCTTAAAGCATTGGCGATAGAAGGGGACACAATAGATCTTTCAGGTTGCAGTGTATTAACACCCCATTTTCAACATAACATAACCTAGCTTGTGACGTAATGCAGATCTAACCTAGCTTGTGACGTAATAAATGAAATATAACACGTGCAACCATACATGGAATGCCTAATAATTAAACTCGCTGACTGAAGAAATGGGTCACGCACGTATGACCTAATATGGAATGGTTAAATTAAGACCATAGTGACGCAAGAAATGAAATATAACACGTATGACGTGTGCTGGAATACGATTTTATAAATGTAGATGCCTTTTATGGAATGGTGAAATTAAGAAAAGTTACGAAGTAAATAGAAGGCGGTTTTCCTCACTGACGTAAGAAATGAAACATGTGTTACCTTATTAGGAATGGAACGAACTGCAGTGACGCATGTGAAATAAAAAACCTGTGACATTACACCGTACTGGTATGCGGATTTCTACATCGAGAAATCCCCAATGGGGCTCGCTGACGCAAGAAGTGATATATAATACGTGTGACTATATATGGAATGTTAAGATCATGCGCAGTGACAGGTCAAAAGGGCCTAAAACTAATATCTTTGTTATTGTTGGTCCGATTCAAACGGGCAAATGACATTATTCATTTATTTTTCATTTATTCATTTATTTATTTATCCCAAACAGGCTTCAAGCCTAATTACATGGAATACTTAATTCAAATTATGTAGATAACTCAGTATTGATTAACGTCGAACAGAAAAATCATGCGTAGAACGAAAAGTTAGAAGATCCTTAGCGTGTTTCTCGGATATTACTGGTCCGATTTAAACGGGACAAACAACATTCAGCGTGAACGTCATCTAGCTGTCATTTCCAACGAAAGAATTGCCATCAAAGACAAAAGGGCATTAACGTATTGTTGTTGTTGTTGTTGTTGTTGTTGTTGTTGTTGTTGTTGTTGTTGTTGTTGTTGTTGTTGTTGTTGTTGTTGTTGTTGTTGTTGTTGTTGTTGTTGTTGTTGTTGTTGTTGTTGTTGTTGTTGGTGTTTACCTTGAACTGTTATCTAGTTGAAATTATCATATCATTACTACAGGTATCCCACCATCTTTCATATTACCGATTCTCATGATTTTTGAAAGGGAAATGTCACGTGACATACTAATAATGAATTTGCCAATCGTTTTAAATCATTTTAAAATTGATGACGAGCTAGAACTACGTGTGATACATCAAATGAAACGGTAGAACGTGAGGATCACATATTTGCCGTCATCTTCGACAAATGTTCTTTGTAACATCGATACATCGCTGAGAAAGGGCTTAAAATGAATGAAAATCAAATAGGAATGCATATTTCATAATACTGGTGCTACATTGTTTCCAAATCCCAAAAAATCGATATTGCGCATGCGCAGAACTAGAATCTTGGACACCAATGCTTTTTAAATGGAAAACGTGTAGTTCACTCTGGACAGTAGAAAACTGTTGTGGACATTTCAGTAAAGATGTGGCAAATATTGCTAATAATTTAAATGGGGGAAAGTTATTTGTAATGGGGTAAAGTCAACATTGGACAGTGGGTTAGGAGAGTATTTCGCCTTCCAGTTGCTCAACTGTATATGGTACTTCTTCTACATAAAGTTTGTAATTGTTAATATAAGCTTGTGAATTGTTTGCCATTGCTAGTCTAAGATGTTTTACTAACGTTTTCGTAATATTTTGATCATCCGGACTTGGTCGTTTGATATAGATATACCTGTTCCTCTAATTTGTTGTATATTTTGAAAGATTTTTTGTTTTTTTAAGTACGACATAAATTCTATGATCAGTATCTTTCTTCCCTATGAAAAATATGTTATTTATATCTGCCTCAGTTAGATTTAAATTAAATATTTCGTTTAATATTCCTAGGGACTTGATTAGTAGATTGTCTCGATTTGTCTGAATCCCAAATATAACTATATTGTTTTTCCTGTTGGGCTCTTTACTTTTTTCTCCAAATTTTGGCATTAAGTTTTTAAATTTTGCACTTCTTGATTGAGACTTTCATTTATTGATTTAATTTCTGTTATTATTTCTGCAGTTTTTCTATTAATAATCGCTTCCAATTTATGTAAAAGATCTTTATTCGAAAGATTCATATTATAAGTTCAGCTACCTGCCTATCTAAGTAGTGTACCTTCTTCATCAGTTTTCTGTTTTTGTGTAAAAGCAATTAGTCTTTATCTTTTATACCGAGATAAAAATATATTGTTATTCAGTTTATGCATTTATATTTTGATTGGTTTCTAACTTATATTATTAATTAATTTTCGTAACTATGTACTCACTTTATGAGGGATGATTTTCTCTATCTAACAATATAAGTTTCAACTTTATTGCAGCACTTTTATCCACTAAAATTATAAGATTTCTTGGACAGACGAACATCAAACTTTATAGGTAAACGAAATAATCTCTAAAGTCTCCCAAGAAACTGTCCGGCACTGACTATCGAAAGCCCCTGTTATATTACATAACATATTTTAGTTCAAGGTTTATAAATTAATATGATTGGAAATATCGTAAAAACAGATGCCAAAATGCAGTTACTAAAAATATATCCCTCATATAAATAAAATTATATTTAAATTTAATTCAGGTATATTTTAGAAAGTCAGAATGATTGAATCATCATCACGACATTTTGACGCAAAAATAGAGCGTGATACTAATATAGAAATAAAAAAACTAATTTATAATAAAAAAAAAACACATTATAGCAGCTGTTTTCATGTTTTTAAGATTACTAAAACTATAAATACAAAAACTCGGTAAAAGTAAAACGATTTGTGCAACTCTGTATACAGAACTCGATATTGATAATCTAAATATAACTCATAAATTAAATCAATATTAGAATGAATACTGGATAATATTTCAAATAACAATTTAATAGCAAGTCATTACAAGGTATGAAGGTAAAAAATTATAAGTAAAATTCTATAATAACCAATTTCGTGAAAATAGAGCATGTTATCCTTCAGTTAAAAGTTATTTGAAGGTTTAGTATCCAAACATGTGTATTTTATTAAAAAAATAGGTCATTTGAGATTACTATAGCTTTACTCTTGTCTTTAATCTTACTAGCCACGAAGACAAAAAATGGCAACGTTGCAAGGAGGGTTATTATTTCTTTCTTTGACAACAAATATGCCAGATGAAAAATCTAACAGGTCATTTTAAAACTCTCACTCACGACACCCGCGTGCGAATAAAATACTTATATAGTAAATTAGTGTATTTAATACAGAATCAAACCGGTGTGAACTTGGCAGAACAAAAATTCAACTAACCAGGTATAACCAAGTCCGTGTAAACAAAACTTTTCATATCCTGAAAACGTCAAGTGTCAACTAAAATGTCTACTTTCGCTTCTGTACTACTAATTATTCTGGGGTGCCAGTACTGATTGATACATATACTGGGATACGCACGACAACTAGCTAGTGTAGGGATATCAGGTTTTTTAACTGCAACACGATATATTACTGCTATTCATTTGACAGGTTTTATAAATTCTACATAAAACTTTAAATTAGATTCTCTTTTCTAGAAAAACCAAGTAACCTAGCAAATTTAAGCGGTATAAAAAATGTTTTCTTACTGCTGTTTTTCTATCAATACTATCAAAAATATCAAAAAATTATAGTAGCAAAAATAGTTATTTATACATTTCCTGTAACTCAATCATAGTTAATGGATTTCAAATATTTGAATGGCATATCTTTAAGAAAAATACCGAATACAGTATTGACTATTGATGATTGTTCATTAGTTATGCGATTTAACTTCCGCACAAACCGTAGAAGTAATTTCCTCGCCAGCTCGCTATTATCTTGACCGCCTACTATCGCATTCAACCACCAGCTGAGTCATGGTCTTTCGTGCAATATTAAATCGATTTCAACACTTGCAGCTTTATATATCGAAATACAGAACATTTCGTCTAGTTTACACGAAAAAAAAATTCTCTATAAATGAATTTTTACTTATAACAAATAAAAAGTTATATACACTTGTTGGGCAATACTGAGCATGCGCATTAAACACAGTGGTCGACTGTTTTTAGTTACTCTGTGTAATACCTTAAAATTTTGTGGTTTATTATTTAAAATTTTTAATATTACGTTCCAGTATAATAGTGCATGTTGTAAGCCCATGTGAGTAATTTTTTTTTGTTCACATGCTCTCTGGGTGCAGGGGCGGATCTAGAGTTTTTCTGAACGGGGGGGGGGGGGGGGGGGAGATCATTTTCAAAAATACGTTTTAATATAGAAGGTATATTTTATAGAGATGCATCATACTCATATATACTGTAAAATAATATTAGTATAGTAAGAAAGTTAACATGCAAAAAAATGCCTGAATACAGAAGCATATACTTAGGAAAATAAAACAAAATTAATAAATCAGCAATAAATGCTAAAAATAGTTAAATTAGGTCCATAAAATAAAAACTAAAAACACAGTAATACAGTAATAATAAAATTATAAAATAAATTGTAATCTTCTAGACTCCTTAGCAAATCTATCAATCATCCTTTTAATGTCAATGTCTCTATGTATATGCAACAGGGCCAATCCTTCCAAACGATCCTGTTTCATACGAGAATACATCCAACTTTTGACTCTTCGCAAAGAAGAAAAGCTTCTTTCGGCAGTAGCCACTGATATTGGCAGGGTTACTAAAATTTTTAAATATTTTGTAATTGTAGGATAAAAGTTTTGGTCTATGCTTATGAGTGTTTCGATAGCAGTTTCAGTTTGACAAAATGTATTTTTATCCATTGTTTTTTGACGAATTTGTACTTCACCTAACAATTTCGCGCTCTCACGTTCAACATTCTCAATTAATCCTGAAAACTGTTGACATATTAGGGTCATCTTTTTTTTAAGACTATTATAGTCCGTTAAAAGCACTAAATTTTTCAGAATTAATTCATTGAGTGAAAAACATTTTAACATTTAGCTAAACAGGAATAAAAATCACTTTCCTCCAGTAATCTACTGCATTTGAAACTGGAATATTGACCAGCTGGGTTTGTCTAGATGCTATGCGAGGAACTTTCTGCAGCAGAGGCTTCTAAGGTGAAAGATTATTCAGGGGGGGCTAAACTCCCTTTGTCCCCCCCCCCCCCCTAAATCCGGTCTGGGTGCTGTAGTTAATTAAGATTCATCTACTTTTATCTTAACCTCTATATCTATAGTCCAGTTTTTTTGTACTGTAATTCTTGAGAACTAGTTACCAGAGGCGAAACAATAAGTGATTTCAAATGCCATAAATGTAAAATTAATAAAAATGAAGGTCTAGTCGGATGTGAAGGAATGGTTTCATTATTCATGTATAGGGTTGATCAATATGCTTTCTAAAAGTAAAAACATCTTTTTTATATGTGATGTTTGTAAGAAAAAATGTGTTATAGCCGAAAAAACCTCAAGAAAAGATAATAGTGACCAGCTAATTCTAATCAATGAAGCTATTGATAAAGTTCATGAGCTAATTCAGAAAAAAGAGATATTTGCTATAAAACATAAATGTTCTAGAGGCACTGAAACTAGAACTCAATCAGAATATTTTGCCAAAACTTCCCTCAACCAGTTTAAATTCATCCAAATCATCATCTAAAGAAAGATCTCAACCACTATTTAAGGAAGTCCTGAAAAAGCATCCTTCATATTTAATCAAGCCGAAAAACAAACAAGACTCTGCTTCAACAAAAAATGACATTATGAACAATATTAATCCAGTTTCTTCAAATATATGTCTTTCAAAAGTGGTTCACACTGGAAATGGCGGACTCGTGGTGAGCTGTGAGAATTCAGAAGATTCCAGTAAATTTAAAAAATTGGCCAATAATTACACCATTAAGTTTTAAATCCTAGGTTCAGAATTGTTGATATGTCTGAAAAACTGTGATGAAGAACTAATTAACTCAAAATTCAAAATAAAGATGAAATAGTTGGTGATCTAACAGTTATTTCCCATTTTCCACTTAAGAAAAACAACAAACTTCATCAGGCAGTTATTAAGTGCGATATATCTACCTACAAAAATTTAATGCTTCAGGGAAAACTCTTCTTCGGCTATGATTATTGTTCCATCTATGACCCAATTGATCTGAGGAGATGCTTCAAATGTTGTGATTACCATCATTCGTCCAAAGTTTGTAAATCGTGTATCTTTATGTGTCCTATATGTGTTCAAAACCATCAACTGAAAGACTGTTCGAGAACCATTGAATATTGTATTAATTGTCACAATTATCATAAAACAACTAACAGCCCTATTTCAGCCAATCATACTGCACTTAATACATAATGTCACGTATACAAATCAACTCTTTCTAAATTTAAATCAAACATCCTTTCCAATATGGAGCCATCATAGCAGGTACATAACGACTCAAAATCACCAAATTCAACTTCTGTTACTATTTACTACCAAAACGTGCAAGGTATTAGAACAAAACCTCAAGATCTTTATATCAGTTCTGCTACCTCGGTACAATATGACATAATAGCTCTCACTGATTCAATTGGTAATCCTGAATTTACGAACACACAGACCATATCAAATAACCAATAGCACGAGAGGTGAAATATTCTTAATGCTATTCCCAAAGTTGGAGGTATGTAGTGAAAATAATAAAGGTCCAAGTATTGATCTCTGAGGAACTCCACAGGTAATCTGCTTAGTATTTGATGAACCTGCATCAGTAACTACAAATTGCTTCCTGTTATCAAGGTAGCTATTAAATAGTCTAATAATATCATTAGAGCAACCAAAATGTAATATTGAGAGTAAAATTGTATGATTAATAATATTAAATGCTTTGGAATAATGGAGCTTAACAAGTGCTGCTGTTTTCCTAGCATCAATGTCTCTGAAGGGATCATCAGTGACATCAAGTAGAGCTGTAGCAGTAAGAATCCTCGCCTTAATCAGGTATTCTATCAAAATACTACTAGGACCAATACATGTAAGGCTTCACCTCTTTATTTGATGATTCAAAACTATTCTTAGGTTGAATCTCATATTGACATTTTTAATTGTAGTATAACCGTCATTATTTCCTTAATACGATAATGTGAATTTTTGATTTTTCTTGTTTTTTTTTGTAATATTTTTATTTGAAAAAATTGTATTATCCTGTTTCTCAACTATTCAGGTATTCAATGTTTAATGTAATAGACTCAATTGAGTGCACACTTTTTCTCTTGTCTTAAGTTTTTTTAGTGTGTATTCAATTTATATCTATATTGTATGAGATTTCTGTATACGTTTCCTAATATTCAAATGTTATTTTCCAAAATTATATATTTTTCACCGGATTTAGTTTCAATCTTGAAATTATTTTTTGCTTAATATAACAAGTAAAATATTTAGGTAAAACGAGGTTTCTAAAAATCGTCACCTATGGTTATTAAACATTTTAATTAGTTTTTAAACGATCTACTATTAATAAACTATTTATTTGTGGTTAGTAATTTTAATTTCAGTGGGTATTCACTGTGTACCACTTACTATTAGTGAAATTTTTACTTTGTAGGTTTGTTGATAGATTTATAGCCGTTATAAACATTTTTAATCCTAGAAATACCTTTTATTTGAAGTGGAAAAACAAGTTATATTCCATATGATGTGAGCAAAATTGGACAGTATGTCCGATATTAAAAAATCTTCATCTTAAAAGACTTTTGTTGCCCTATTTGGATGTTATTTAATAAATTTACTTTGGCATTGATTTTGATCGTTTCATTGTAATGGCTTACTTATTTATTAAAAAAAAATTACTTACCCAACGGTAACATCAAAAATGTTACTGCCGACTGATGACGAGACAGCCATATCACCGAAACCCTTCCTGGCTACGATGACAGAAGTGATGAGATCCGGAATTGACGTACCAGCCGCCAAAAACGTAAGACCCATCACCTCCGGCGGTATCTGTACAGTATCTCCCACCATATTGGCCCACCATACCATGAGGTAAGAGTACGCCGCTATCCACAAAATGCTTCCAATGAACGTTACGGGGAAGAATTTTTTGCCTAAATCAAAAAGATTAAATGATTATTAAATAAATAACAACTAACTGTAATTAGGGTAGTGGTAAAGGAGAATAGCCAAATATGGAATATGTTCCTAAAATGGAATATCATTAAATTATTTTAACTTATATTTATTAGGCACCCTGGTAAAATAATCTCAATTTACAAGATGCATTTTAAAAAAGGATTTAGCAGGAAAAACATATGTTCTGGCTTCAGAAAGTGCAATTTTTTTCCTTTTAATAGAATAATATTTAATCTTGATGGCCAACCTTCACCTATTACCGATGAACCTCCTTAGTCATTGATAAAAATCAGCGAGTTGCATCAGCCTCTTCTTAACTACTAAAGTTTATTTGACTGAAACTGTAAGATCCTATTCTAAAGTCTTTAGACTGAACACAGAAAAAAGGAAGAGCAAGCTTGGAAAATCCAGAATACCTACAAAACTTCCAGAAAAAATAGAATTGAAGAATAAAAATAAAAAAAAAATGAAGGAAAAACAATCTGTTTAGAGTACCTGTAAGGAAAGTTGAATATAAAAAAGAAGAAATCTCTAAAGAATAAGACGTAAGTGTACCCTATGAAGCAGTAATAAAAAACATCAGCGAATTCAAAACTATTCTTCCAAATATTTTCCAAGGAGACTTTCTGGTCATTAAATATTTCGAAAAAAAAAATTGCAAAAGTATCATGTCGAAGAGATTGAATTTTTCAAGTAGAAGTTAAGCTCTAAAGTTTAAAAAATTAACAAATTACTGAACGGATCAGCTCTATTAAGTGTTTTAAAGTAGTTTTAAGCTCATTTAGCATCATTTTAAATTTTCCAAAGTTTTATGTTTATAATTTTCGTTCTACTTTTATCAAAATACCTGGTTCATGTTCTTTAATATTTTTTACAAGTATATATTCTTTTTATTTTTTCATTACAATGGTTTATTACATTCCAATGTGCTTTTTCAAGGTTCAAATGTGCCCCACATTATAAGGGACACATTGTTAGTAGACCATTTAAGAAAAAAAATATTTCTTGGTTCTGTGAAATATATTTTTGCAAATTTTACACGTGGATAACCTAAAAGAAAGAAAAAAGAATGTGTAAAGCAATTTTGAAACTATTTTTGTGGATATGCTCCGTGATACCAGCTAAAACGTTTTGAAACGTATCAATGTGCCTCACTCTGTCCAACAATGACTTAGTTATGCCCATCGAAAATCGGGTTTTACAGAAAATTAAACAGAAATCAACAATAACAGAGATCGATAAGAAACAATTAAACTGGTATGGTCACATAGTAAGTGATGGAAATGGGATAATTAAGAAAAAGGCATCGAGGAATCCCAAGGACTAAACGAATGAAAATGGGAATGGAAAAAATGTAGCCACAAACAGAAAAATGCTAAATAAAGAGATTCAGAAAGAGAACGACGTCTGAAAAAGCAAAAATATATGAGGAAGACAGAAAGAATATTCACAAAACTAATTTTAGTAATTTTATCCATTTTCTCGATAAAAAAATACATATTTTTATAAACTACTAGCTGTCTTAAATATTTATTTTGTTTTGTTTAGTTTGGTAAACATATTTTTAGTTTGAGCTTAAGCCTAAGCTTATTATAAATGTTTACTCTACTTATCCAAAAGCAACATCTGTATTTAAAAACATTTTTAAAAAAAGAACAGTTATTAAATTCCTGTCTGCTATTTTTATGGACTCCAAAGGAGTGGTTTTCCACTATTTTACATATTATGCGGTTCTAGGTCAACAACGTCCTTTATTTTCCTAACTACACACTGAGCGACATCCAGTCAAGTTCGCAGGACCGACCGTGCACACTTCGCTTTCATTATATCCATCAGGTACAATAAAATGGCACGTCAGTTGATTCATCACGTTGAATAATAGTTCTTGAGTTCAGTAGTCTATTTCCTCTACAATTTGCTCTTCAACAACGGTGACTATGTCAGTATCTTTCCTCTAAATTATGTTTGAATTTAGAATACTCAGGTTTTTGAGCAGTTTGTGGCTTGATGAGTCACAATTTTTCGTGAAGCGTCTTTACTTGATATACCTAACTAACTGCATTTGTCTAGAACGAAAATATTGACTTAATGATAGAATATATTGGTTCAAACGAGTTCTATTCACATTCAACTTTAATTTGAGTTTCATTAATGATAGTCAAACACGTCAGTTAATATACAACCGTGGTTATTTATTATTAACAAGCTAGTTTGCTTCTACATAAAAGAGCATAAAACCTTTTATAAAAAAAAGAAACGTTAGTAGATGTTAATTTTCCAATTTCAAACTTTAATTACTTTTTCCACAATGAACTAAAGAGAGTAAAATATAAAGGGCTTACATTTCTTTTATTTGAGCTGAATGTTAGCGCAGCTATAAACCGAGAACAAGCGAAAAATGGTTGAAAAAGGAACGTCGAAAATAAGAACTGAAACTTGTTCGTCGTCCATAACAGCACACAACATCGGTATCTGACCACTAAAAGTAGGCCACGAAACGATAACATACATAGGGATAAAACAAAGCAAACAAAACTTATGTTCAACTTTGAGATGTTGGCTGGTAGTCGGAAAGTTATAGCTATAGCCGAAGAATGAGTATTTTTACGATGACACCGTAAATTTGTAGTAAATGCGGTTTATTGATTTTAAAAAATATACAGTAGGTACGTAATTTAAATGGTTTTTCCATCATTTACATTAGTAAAAACTTAGATAATGCAAGTTGATGGAAAATAAATGAAAAAAAAAATATGTAGGGCTAAAAATATCATTTCAAAGAGTTCCTTCTCAGTCGGTCAGCCATATTTTTTTACAGAGTTGGATCGGTTAATCATTATGATAAGAGAATACCAACCCGTAGGCAAGAGCTCTCAAGAGTGCGAGGTATAGCACAATGAGCCACACTCAGGTACCATCTCGAAGAACTGGAGTTGGATAGAATGTCACTTTGCATGTTGTGTAAATAGAAATAGGTGCGACCCTATGGCCGCAGCCATTTTCATTGCTCATCTCACTTGGAACTACTCACATTGTTATTGTCTGATCCATAATCTGGTGTATTAGAATTGTTTAGAATAAAATAGAAAATGGTTATTATAATTACTCCCGAGTGAGATAAAATATTAAATGGCTGCGACCATAGAGTCGCATCTTAATTTATTTATTTTTTACACCACCCAACAGTAATCACCATTTACTGGGTGGGAAAGACAAAACATTAGAATAAAAATACAAATACAAAATTGTTAAAAAGCTATACAATACAATGTAAACATTCAGACAAAAACTGACCGAACACAGGATACAAAAAATGGTTGTTTACATCATTTTTTTTTACATTGTTAAAGAAAAAACATTTTTAATCATATATTTTTTACATGCAAAAATGTCCAAGCTGTCTTGAATTTCATGATATTTTTGAATAGATTGGTACATTGGAGATGAGTTCAAAACATTAGTTCTAGACTCTGACTTTAATCCGCTGGTTTATCACGTTTGGGGACATCTAAAAACAAAAGTATATTCCACTCCCATAAATAGTAGGGAAGAACTAGTTGAGAGGATAGACAACGCGTGCGAAGAAATGAAAAATAATCCCGATGTACTCAGAAAAGCCGTCAACCATATTTTAAAACGAGCAAGAAAATGCATCGAACAAAATGGAGGTTATTTTGTACAACTCTTGTAGTTTTTAGTAGCAATAAGGTTTATTACTTAATTTCCAACATTTGTATTTCTTTGTATTATTAGTTGTTATTTTGATTTGTTTATTATGTATTAATTAGTTATTATTTATGTGTTTTTCCTTTAGTTGTAAATGTGATTATTTATTCTACTGAATGTTAGTCTCTTTCCATATTATTATCCTACATACTATTTATTAAAACTTACATGGAATAATTTATACAGGGTGCGGTCGAAAAAAAAAATAATTCTGATTTTTTGCCCTAAAACCGGACCTGAAATTATTTTTTGAAGTGGTGTAGATGCATACAATTATAAGTATTGACATATCTGTAGATTTTAGAAATATACTTTTTTAAATAATTTTAAATATACCGTAATAAAATTAATAAAACTCCGTCCGTTTCCAGTTTGTACCTCCAAAATGCTCAAAAATAACAATTTGTACTTATAATTTCAGTAGTAAAATCGTCTGCGCAAAAATACAATGTATATTATTGGATTCAGTTTTTTGTGCTCTTTTCAAATATGAAAACAAAAATTTCAAATTCAGACATACAGGATGTTGTTTTAAGGATGGACGAATTTATTAATTTTTTGTAAAGACGGACCTGGATTTCGTTTCTTGTTTATACCTTTTTAGATTTAGTAAGTTACGGTGAATAAGTACGACAAATGTCAAAAACATATACAGGGTGGTTAATAAGTTATGAGTCTGGAAAGAAATAGGCCAAATTGATAAAGGTCGAAAGACCCATTAAGTATGGGTTATTTGGAAGCACCTCGGTGGTCTCTATCCATGGTTAAAGGGAGTCCCTTTACCAATGAAACACCCTGTATAATTTCAATGGTAGAGTTTTCGTTAAAGCAGCATCTGTTTTGGGATTTAAGATAGTCCAGTAGAATGGGATCATCAAATTTTTCAGACATGTTCGTGACTTTAATGCGCGAATGTATTTGTGCGTATTTCATATTTGTCGCCCAAATTGGTGTTGATAATCTGCTGGAATCTGGATGAATCGTCTTTGTTATCACAACTTATAACCAAGGCACCTTGACGTGTAGTAGATTCATTTGAAACATTAATGTTAGTCTTAATTGGGTCAACACTTCGTAGAATTTAGGCTTTGGTAGCAGCTATGGGTTGAGTAGTATTTTTAGGTTAAATAATGAATTTTGACCTATTAGCAACATCGGAATAACTTGGCTCGATTGATGTAGTCAATTTTTGGGAGATTAAATCTTTAAGGCCAGCTTCTACACTCACAAATGAAGATTAATCCTATTGACAGGCATTCTACCCCCATTCCAGTTTATTGAATTTACGTAAAGAAAAGAAATAAAAACCTGCGGTACTTACATTACTTAGGCTGAAATTAATAGGCAATAGCAAGTTTTTAGATAAATTCTTAGATATAGAAGAAAAATAGGAAGGCAATACTAAAAAAAAATATATAATTGAATTTGGGTTGAAGTTGCGTCAACACAAATAGCTAATAGCTTCATGGACTTCAAAAAATGGAAGTAGGTAGATAAATTCAAGTACCTCTGTTACAATTATGGATATGGATATGATTAGCAAGCGAAGAAGATGTACAAAAACGAGAAAAAAAGATTTTGAATTTTTCTCTTTTCCTTTATTTGTGGTTGGATAGTTTTTCCAGGTTCATTTGTAAATCGCACAAGCTCTTTCGAGGTGAATTGTAGTGAGAGCATTATTAGTAATGGATTGTTAGATTTCTTTATTGGTATTGGTATAATTATTTCCGTCATATCCTGTATAAACTTACCTCTTGCGGCTCTCGTATCGGGCAAAGTGAGCCATAACGGGAAGACTATGGGTGCCAAGAGAACATACGTTATTCTTTTGCGGAATCCCGAAGGCCAACTCACGTCCATTGCTTCGGGAGGTTCATCTTCGCCACCGTCCCCAACCTGTAGACATACCACCGCTTGTGAAGTCAACGACTTTCGAGCACGTACTGACGACATGCGTCGCTAAAATCAGAAATTTATATAATTTTGAATATATTTCTCCAATAATGTGTATTATAAAACAATTAATTAAACAGTGGGAACATTACAATCTATAAATAAATGCCAAAATTATGAAAAATAACTATCGAGGAAGTTCTTGAGTTATCTGAATTGCTGGCTATGGAAAATTGGGTATAAGCAATATATTTAAACTAGTGCAGTCTTAATTTAACAGCTTGCAATTCCAAGATAATATGTGTTTTAAAGTAAATGGATTTATATTTCGAAACTATTCAGGGTTTCTACTTAGAAGCCTCGTTTGTAAGCATTGAGGGAGGTTTTTTATAAAATACAATACGTTTCAAGCTGATTCTACAGTTTTCCATGTTGTTTCGGCAACTACTGTAAATAAAGGTTGCGTTTAAAAGCTACAACTATTCCATTTTACTTTACGGAGATATTTAAGGCCCTTTTAACGGTATAAAGGTTTATTTTTCGCTAGCGCCGTTTGGAGCTAATGTCTGACAGTCACTTACTCGTATAAAAATATTTATGTCTGTGCCTTGTGCCAAATGTTACTTGGCAGGATGTCTACCACATTGTCTACTACGAATACTTGACTGTGGCGTATCATTGAATAGTGGAAAAATCGAATATCGATGGCTTAATTCTAACAAGTCGTAACCCACAATTCTTACGAATTCAAGTGGAAAAATTTAAAGAAGCAAAATCTAAAAAAACTAACCGAAAAAGGGATGTTAAAAAGACAGTTACAAAAGTAAGGCAAAAGCTTATAAATATTTCTACAAGAATGGAAGAAGATAATATATGAAACAGAGCAAAGAAAAAACAGAGATTTTTTCAGTTTAAATAAATTAAAGTTAAAGTTGTGAATGATAATTAGATTACAGGAAAGCACAAAGAAAGTTGTCGCTATGATATCAGTTCAACGAAAAAGTAAAAGAAGCTGAAAAAGACCTAGGCCTCGATTGAAGAAAATAAAAGCAACAATTGGATTGTTGAGCTTTTCAATACCATTTTAGAGACGAATTCCAACGTACAGAAATAAATGAGAATGCAGTTCCTATAAAGTTATACAATTGGATATAAGGATAGAATTAATTATATCGGATAATTTTTCTTAGTATATATTTAATTTTAATACTTTGAAATTTGTAAACATTTAGGAGGCACAAACAAATGGATAAAGAATTTCCGTATTTTTTTTTTTTAATTTTAAACTTATTTAGGCTCCAAAACTGTGAAACTTTGATGTTGTGGAATAGAATAACAACAACGGTGAGTCAAAAATAATAAACCCTACTACTTTTGAAAAGAAATAGTTTCGTTATGCATAAAGAAAGAAATTCTAAACAAAAAAAGAAATTGTTTAAATTGTGGCAGAATTTAAAGAAGTAAAAGATAAAAAACTACAGAAAAATGGATGTTAAAAAGACAGTTTCATTTTCAAACAACTAGAAGACAGCAATTAAGAGAAAGTAGGATATAATGACATTCTAGACCGATATAGAAATGACTGAACCAACTATTACAGAAGAGCTAACTCCATATGACAGTGAAAACTTTCTACAACAGCCTAAAATTTGGCTTAGCCCTGGAAATTAAGTAAATCAAAACGAATGCAGACACTTTGAGTGTATCAAAGAAAAGCGCGCTACATGCTAAATTTTTAGGTACACTCTGTAGAGCTAGAACTTTAGCGCGATGCCAAAAAATTCTCCTATCAGCATCAGCTACAACATATTAAATATTCAAAACTTTCTACAAAAGACCAATTTACATTTAAACTATGTTTTGTCCTTTGATGCCATTTTTGATATATGCCGGTGATAGTGGCAAAAATGTAAGATAGCTTATTTAAAACTCTAAAAGAGCACTTTAAAATCAATAAAACTTTCTACCGAGTAGGGATAAATCTTATATATTTCAATTATATTTAACTACAGATATTCTTACCTATAGAATATCTTTCTACTAGCGTGCGGAAAAGTTCATTTTAGTGTTGAAAGAGTCACTTTTCCGCACTAACGCGTCGTTAGGCCATCTGCAATCGCGTGCGGAAAAGTATCACTTTCCGCTCTTGTTAGGTAAACTACTATATTGTATTGTATTTGTGCCGACGAGAAAAGTTTCTTGCTTTTTAAAACTTTTTAACCACTCTAAGTCCGAAAACGCAAAACGAATCTCGTCTATGCGTGCGCATGTATGTGCACCGACACTATTACTCTAGAACTAAAGTGCTGATCGACTTTTGACTTTAGTTGATATTTTTTCCAGCTAATAAATCTGTTGATTTTACAGAATTTTGGGTTTAACTTTAGTGTTCTAAATATTAATATTTCTATAATACAATGCATTTATTTCATAGATAGTGAACCATAGGCATTTTTTCTATATTGCTGTCATTCTTAAACGTCAAATAAATTACAGTTTTTTTAAATGCCTTTTATAGAATTCTTTTTAAGTGGTTATTTATTAGTGTACGAGTTTTAATGATCTCCAGAATGGAATTTGTATCTGAATTATTAGGATCGAAAAGTAAAGGACCCAAATATTTTTTTAACATGAGCAGGCTTAGATGCTAAAAACAATCCAAATATTTTTATATTAACAGATGTAATGGGTAAATGGCCTAAATATTTTTACATGGGCAGGCGTAAATAAATACAGACTGCAGAGGTAAAAGAGCCAAATACTTTCATATTAACATTGGTAAAAAAAGTAAATATTTTAACATGAGCCGGTTTAAGGGGTAAAGTGCTCAATTATTTTTGTTCCAACAATTTGCAAACCCTAATTAAAAAGTGTCATATTATCAATGTTTCGCAAAACCTGTAACTTTTACGTATCAATACTTATTATCGTCTTTTGGTCTTTCGTTTAAAATCAAATCGTTTCCCCGTTTCTTTTATGCTACGAGTTTGCCCGTGAAGACCTTTAACGTCTCTTGAATTAATATTTATTTAGTTTTATTATTACTTATTAATATTTTTCCACAGCCAGACAATATTTAAACATAACCAAATATTTAAAATTAGATTTTTTTATATTGCTTAAAAAAACTTATTTATACCTTGGCATTTATTCATAGAATGAACTATCTAATCATTATCCTAATAGCGATTTAACTCACAGGTAGGGTACTTGAAACAAACGCACGTTTTACTACCCAATTGAATTAACAGATAATAATCTCAGGCCGTATTTCGAACACCCTACTTGTAAGACAAAATAGATAACGTCTCTAATTCATCAAATTATTTGCAATTTAAACAGAACTCCTAAATATTTTGAATTCTCTTGGTAATTTTCATAAATTATTAAGTCAATATACGAAATGTAATCTCAATGGAATACTGTTCATTTTTATATTTTACCCTTTATAGGTAAACTTTGGGTAGGAATTTGAACCAAATTATCAAAAACGGTAAAATCAAAAGCTTTTATAAGGTTCTTTCGTTCGTTCCACTGGTGTAGGAATGAACTACACCAACGCGCACCTTAACTTTCATTTGGCCCGGTGTAAAATACACTACACCTTTCTGTCGGCGATGTGGTGTCCACTGGTGGATATTTTTTCCACCAGCTATTTAGCGGGAGTGAATTACACTCAACATTGAGATCAGGAATAAGGAGGAAGTAAACTAGGTAAATAAAGGTAGTGTACCTGGTGTAATTTACACTGGTGAATACTGCACCAACAGCGAACGAAAGAACCAATTATGTAATCGGGTTGTATCGTGTCCGAATTTGGTAATTAAATATAAACATTCTTCAACGCTACTCGAGTTGTTCCATCCAGAAAAGCGTAGACAAATTGTTTTCTAGCTACATTGCCACCTTCTAGCATCTACAGAGTGTTTCAAAAAAAGATGGCCTCGTTGCTAGTATATCCAAAATACTGCAAACGGCATCAGTTTTCAAAATACAGGGTATGAATAAAAATTATTCATTTTTTACGGTTATGTTGAAACTACTGGCAAAATTGTAATGTAATTTTGTACGAATATATCTTAAAGGCTGACACATAAATTTGTTTTTATATCTGCCTCTAATAGAGGACGCTAGTTACACGGTTTATATCGAGTAATTTTAAAAATACATTTTTGAGGTTATATTTTCTGGTCTAAATTTTATGTGAACTCAAATATCACCAGCAAACCCAACCTATTTTGCAGTGTTTTATCTATCCTAGCATTGGGGCCACCTTTTTTTGAAATACCCTGTATAATGGTTTTAATTGATTAGTTGACCCCATAACGGCTATAATAAAGATTGATTTGTAAGTAATCCTTAACGGATTTGTGCGAGACAGAGGAAATTGGAAAGTCTATTGGAATAGAAATTCTGCATAAAATAAAATGATTTGTTAACCGTATTTATCATGCAATTGAATTTTTATCGATATAGTCAAAATTTACTTTTTACCAAAAGTTATTTTTTAAAAATTTATTAATTTATCTATTTTAAAATTAAAAAAAATATTTTCGCTAAAAAATCAAAATATTTAGAAGTTGTTTTAAAAAGCTGTTAATTTGATCATAATTCTCTAAGGAAAAAAATAGATTATTACTAGTTTATTCGAATTATTTTAGTAATGTAATATTGAAAAAGTCAAATTTTTTTATTATATTTGATAAGGTTTTTATTTTTTTTGCGAAAGTGTTGGAGTGTTAATATCATAGATGTTAAAAAACGGCCGATTTTAGATTATAAGTGGACATGTTTTTATCATATTCTACTCCGTCATTCTAACCATTTTATATAGGGAAAATACCAAGAATGATACATAATTAAAAATGCAGTTTTATGGAAAATTTAGCAATTTAGCGCCTTAGAGGTATTAAAAAGTGTGATTTTTCATTTGAAAGCTAATTTTTATTAATTTAATATAATATAAATTTGTTATTTTGGTTGAATGCAATTAAAGTTTGTATTTTTTTTCTAAAAGAGTTTTCTGTTATTTAAATTCATGTTTAATTCAATTATTATGTTTCGTT